AGAGAGAGAGAGAGAGAGAAAGAGAGAGAGAGAGAGAGAGCGAAAGACGAAAAGAGTTAAATAGAATGGTGGACGAAAGGGAGCAGAACATAATAGACTAGACCAGACTTCAATCTAATACATGTAATTATTACCACCCAACATATAATATATTGCTCACGTCTCACATAGACTGCCATCTTGTTGCAATTTTATACAAAACAAATCCCTACTTTTCATTCTGTGTTATTATGCTACACAGGAAATTTCGCTAGATTACAACCCTAAATGGTCACCCATAAAACAATTATTATTATTATTAAGATCGTCTCTTTGTATTATTCATTGTTACTTTATTTTGATAGCATCTAATTTAGGCGGCGTCGGTAACCTAGTGGTTAGGCTACCAGACTCGTAATCGTGAGATTGCGGGTTCGGGGTTCGAGCCTCAGCTCGGTCCGACGTTTTCTCCTTGACAAAGGCACTCTGCACTAATTTCCCATCTATTAGCTCGGTTCTTTCGGAGATGGACGTTAAACTTGGAGGTCCTGCCTCTTAAATAACCTAATAGTGTTGATAGATGTGTTAAACCCATACTATTTCACCATTTTTTTTGCATACAATTTATTAGTTTTATAGAAAGTGTAATCAAAGTAAAAAAAAAAAATTCCTAACAGGACATGGAGTTCCAGCCCAAACCAGGAAATCGCGTCTTTGTGCGGCGGAAAGACATACATGCCACGCCCACCATGACGTCATCGTCGTCTTCCACTGCTGATCAGCCACGTGATTCACCGAGACAGATGCCACGTGACAGCCCGAGGCAGATTATGCAGCAGCGGGAATCTCCGAGAGCAAAGACAATGATAGCGGGAGAGAGCAAAATGGCTGCTTACAACATATTGCTCACGCAATAATGTATTTTTTCGTTATATTATATATACTTTGTTCTAATTTTTTTTCTTCAGTTTTGCACGATTCCAATTCTACAACCAACCATATTGTCTTTCATTGTTCTTTGCGCGTGTTCCCAAGTTCCTAAAATTACATCTTTTCATGATCTGCCCCCCACTTTAGGCAAAGCCTTTGCACTTTAGCCGAAATCACCTTATTGATTATAATCGATTAGTCTTGATTCATAGCCAGCCGTGAACATCATACTTTTCAAATCCAAAGTTAGCACGTTGACCGTCTGAGTTTTCAGTCTCAGAAAGGCCGCCATCTTGCAACTTTACACCACACAACAAAAAAACAACATAAAACAAAAACAGGGAACAAAAAACATAGTTTCCAAAGTTTGCACTTCACACACACACACACACACACACACACACACACACACACACACA